ATGTGCAGCTATGACATACAACTATCTACTGGGGCTTTGGGGGAAAAAAATAAATAAATAAAAATTTAAAAAAATAATAAAAAATAAAAGCAGTATGTTAATTAAAAATTCCAGAGTCACAGAATCTTAGAGATGAGAGACCTGGAGATAATCTAGTCCAGCAATCTCAAGTTGTTTGGTATCAGGACTCTTTTACGCTTTTAAAATTTTTTGAAGACCCTAGAGGGCTTTTGTCTATACGAACTATATGTACCAATATTAACCATATTAGAAATTAAAACTGAGAAATTTGAAAAATACTTATTAGTTTACTTAAAAATAACAACATTACGTGTTAATGTACCTCATTACATGCTAACATAAATAACACTTTTCAGGGTAAGGGGGACTCTATTTTCCAAGACAAAAAATTAATGAGAAGAGAGGCACTGTTTTACATTTCTGCAAATCTCTTTAACATGTGCCTTTATTAGAATACAGCTGGATTTTTGTATTTGCTTCCGTATTTAATCTGTTGTAATATCACACATCATATAGCCGCTGGAAAACGCCACTGCAAACTTGTGATAGAATGACAATGAAAACTGTGAATAACTTCTTAGTATTATTCAGAAAATAATTTGGACCTCACAGGTGTCATGAACCTCTAAAGGTCCCCAGATCCAGTCCAAGTCTTTACTTTTCAGATATTACTAATGTGCAAACTGGGGTCAAGAGAGACGTGATGTTTTGCCTAAAAAAGCAATAGCTTGTCTGTGGCAGAGAGAGGCCTTGAAGCCAAATCTTCTGAATCCCAGCCTGGGCCCCCACATGGGCTCTGTTTACAGGCTTTCGATCAAAAGCTGTGGGCGATGGCAGGGGTCTTGCCACAGTCAGGGGCTGCCTCTACCCTCATCCTAAGCACTGCTGTGTTATCCATGCTTCAATTGCTATAAAGTAAAAGTACAGATCAGATACTTCATTGGGCAGACCATCTTTCTTCTACTTTCCAACTGTATAATATCAGATAAGCTAAAACTGAATTAGGAGAAGTGATGAAAAAATGACTAATCATACTTTATCAGCAAACAATTGAGATCAGTTTTAACAATCGGATTAATACTTACAACCATCCTGTTTACAAATCCACTGTACACAATTGACTCGAGCAGTATGACCATTCAGGTTGGTGATAACAACTCTTTTCTTTAGAAAAGAAAATATCAGTTAGTACATTAGAATTTACCCTACAGAGGAATTAATAAATTAATAAAAATCAGATTTCAGTGCTTTTGATGCTAATAAAAAGTTCAGGACTACTTCAAACAGAATTGCCTTCCTTAATTCATAAACTTTTAACCATGGCTTAAACCATTCATTCTGCCTTTTTCACCACTCCACAATCCCAGTGTCCTATGCTCTCATCACACAGAGCTCTCAGGTCTTCATCTGCCTAGCTCCTGCTCACACATCCTCCGCCGCCATCCTTCTCACCTGGGAAGACTGCCTTGACGCCCCAGGCTAGACAAGGAACCTCTTCCTTGTGCTCCCATAGGTCTCAGCGCCTACTTCTACCATGCTTGCACCAATTTGAGGGTTTTGTTGACAAAAAACTTCTTCAATAGAGGGATTCATGATTAATAAATACAAATTCACGGCTCATTTCGCATGCTATGGCTGATTGGATGTTGGGTTCTTCAGCCTTAATGACAAAAGGTCACGAGGCCACAACTACCAAGATCCTCAGACATCAGACTCCTTCAGGGTCTACAGCCAGGTTCCCAGCAGACCCTCAGACTGCTGCTTTCACCAACATCACTCTACACTTAGGCTTTCTTTACTTAACTGATGAAGATACTACCTCTGTGTCTACAGTGCCATCCTCTTTACAGCTCCTTTCTCTATTTATTGCCAATAGCAATGGCTTCATATCTGCTTAAATGACAACTGGTACTCTCATAGCTGAGAAAAAGGTATACAGAAGTAAATATGCATAAACTAATATAGTTCACACATGGGTTATATGAGGCTGGGAAACAATTTATGGTATTTGTATTTCACTGTCTCTCACACTAGATTGAGAATTTCTTGATGGGTAGGAGTTATTACCCATTATCTTTGTGTCATCATCACCCAGTCCGGGACTAGCCCATAGACGGTCCTCAAAAATTTGCTGAAAAGGGGGCTGGCCCAGTGGTGTAATGGTTAAGTTCTCATGCTCTGCTTCGGCGGCCCGAGGTTCGCGAGTTCAGATCCCAGACGCAGACCTACACACCACTCATCAAGCCATGCTGTGGCAGCATGCCACATACAAAATAGAGGCAGACTGGTACAGATGCTAGCTCAGGGGCAATCTTTCTCAAGCAAAAAGAGGAAGACTGGCAACAGATGTTAGCCAATCTTCCTCACCAAAAAAAAAACCCCCAAAATTTGCTGAATGAACACCATCCCCCAAACTTTATTTTAGCATCTGACATGCTCTTATTCTTATATTTAATTAAATGCCCAACCAGCAAATATTTAACAAAACAAAGTACTTCTTAGGCTCAATATACTTCTATTTTGATGTTAAAATCCTCTAACATGGCCACCAGATTATCACTAAAAATAAAAATGGGATAGAAGGCAAGGGCACAAATCCCTTAAATGGCTGCAGAAAGACAGACTTCTGAATCAGTCCTCAGTTGACGGCCACTGTAAAGTTTATCCTTGGTTTTATGTGCTTTCTCTTGCCAGTGAACAGTGCATGGCAATAACAAGAAGCAAAAACGGGGAGGAGGCAAGCAAACTCGAGATAAAAAAAAAAACAAATACAACTATTTCATATATAAATTTGAATCTGCACCGGATGTGAGGATAAAGGAATTTTTAATCAAATTAATAAAGTAGTACAATAAGAAATATATGTATCTCCTGCACTGCATTTTAATTTCCAGCACTTTACTTTTTATACTGAGGGTCCTTTTGAGAAGCAACACTAACTGTATTGTCCAAAATTAGCCAGTAGGAATGGGGTCATAATGAACTCTAGGAAGCAAGCAAAAACTAGTCACTTGACAAGTTTAGTAGTTAAAGGGCCAAGAAAACAACCGGCTGGGTGAAGTTCAGGGAATGATAAGTCCTGCCTTATAACTAGTGCTTAGGACCCCCATCCTCTATGACCTTTACCCCAATGGCACTTTCTTTAAAATGTCCATTCCCGAAACTAAAATACAAGTAATATTTTTTTGAAGTTCAATGCAACAAAAATTTATTAAATAACACTGAGGGAAGTATAGAAATGAGATAATGGATTTAATCCATACCTAACTACCAAATCTTTTAAACCCGAACTGATTCTTTAACAGTACTACGGTTCCCACGGAAGGCTTCAGAAAACGTTGTCATCATTCGGATTTCTATGCGGGGCTAACAGGCCATTGTAGGATATGGTGACCCCACGCTGATGCAGCGCGCGAGACGGAGAGGGGCAAGTCTGGAGCGCCCACTGGAGACTCCTCGCCCACACACCCTTCCCCAAGCAGACCCGACAGCACAGGCCGCCTCCTCGCTCTGGAGCAGCGTCTACAGTCCGCCCCGAACGCACCCAGCAGATTCGGCCCCAGAAGCACACAGGGTGGGTGTCTGGCCACCTCTCTTACCCAAGGGTCATAAAGCACCACGGAACAGGACGTGCCGAAGGCCAGAAGTCCTCCGGGCCCGGAGCTCCAGCTCAGTGCTCCACGCACCCGGTTCGGGCAGCAAAACACGTGAGAAACCTCCAGCACCGACGCCCCCATGTCGCTGGCTGGTCAGCGGCCGAGACCTGGGCGTCCACTTCCGCCCTCGGAGCGGAACTACCCGCGCGGCCGCCCCTCCCCTGGCGTTATCCGCTCCGCGTTTCAGAGGCGGCCGAGGGGCGGAGCGGAGGCGGCTGTGGTCCCGCCCCGGCCTCGGCCCTGGCCCGAGTGGTCCTCAGTGCCCGGTCGCCACTACCAGTTTTCGTCTCTTGGACCGTGGGTCAGCGCACAAGCGCGACCTCTGTCCCAGGAGCGAAGACCGACCGGAGAGCTCAGGACTGTCCAGAAAGACCCGGGGCTCGTGTGCCGGCGCGGCCTCAGGAACGTCCTGCTGCCCCTCACGGCCGGGCTCCCAGCAGCGGACGGGGCTGGTCCGGGTGTGGGGGGCTCGGCGAGCCAGTCTCAGGCCTCAGAGAGGCAGAGAGGCGCAGGGGCATGGAGTGGCTGCAGGAACGGACTCCGAACTAGTCTGGGTGGCTCACGGTCCGAGCCCGCGCCGCCGCCCCTGCGAGCCCTGCGGCGCCGGCGAACAGGCGGACACGCGGATCCGCCTGCCGAGGACGGGATTCCGGGCCGCACTGCGCATGCCCCGCAGCCACGGCCGGCGGAGGCGGTGGTTCCCGGCGGCGCGCTGCGCGCGGCGGCAATTAGTAATTGTCCTGCTGTTCCCGGGAGGCGAAGGCGCGTGGGGCGCGGCTTCGCGGTGGCACCCCGCACCGAGGGGCAGCCGGGCCGATGAGAGCACCGCTTCTCGGTGCCCTGTAGAGGTTTCTCAGAGAGAGAAGCACGGACCGGTTCCGAGCCCTCCGGACCGTCCGCGGGGAATAACCTGCGCGCGGGGCCGAGGGAGGGACTGCGAGGCCGCGGAGAGGTGAGTCCCGCAGGTCCGGGAGGGGGCGGCGGACAGGGGAGCCCCGCAGGCCGTGGAGGCCGGACTTCCCAGTTTGGGGTGCACAGATGGGCTTCGGGGACTTTTTGAGGAGGAAGAAGAAGAAGAAGAAGGTACTGTCGTGTTTAAAAATAAAAAGCCCTTAGAAGCAGTTTTGTGTTCTTTCCCGTTTTCTCCACTCGCCCCTTTCTCCACGCCATGCCCTTCGGCTTTCTTTTTTCTTCTAACACACGCCGACTTGCAAGGAAGGGGATCCGCCGGCGAGCCCGCGACCGCCCTAAGCATCCTCCCTGGAGAAAGGCTCGGAGCTGCATGGAGCTGCTCCCAGAACCAACCGTCTGTGCTTGACCCCACCCACCCCGCTCCTTGCCTCTCTCCTGTGAATGATTTCCTAATGGTTCTCTTTTTCCTGTTAACTGAATTTCCAATACTTCGGGCCCCGAAGATTCTTTTTTCAGGAGACTAGCCCTATGGTGGTTATATATTTTCATTTTCCCCTACTCCCAGTATGATAAGCAGTAGTTGTGCAACACATGACAGTTTATGGAGTACTTTCACGTGCATTCGTTGGTGTGGTTTCCTCAGTCACCCTGAAAAATGGGTATTACCAGATTTTCCTGGGCCGAGGAAGAACAGCTGAAAGTGGTAGAGCTTGGTTGCCCCTGGCCCTTGTTCTTTCGCTCCAGAACTCGACCTCTCTGTCTTTCCCTGGAGGCAGATGAGTTTGCTCACAGTCACGGTCTGTGGTGCTAGACATCTGCTGGGTCCAGAGATATCAGTTTAACCCTTATCTGGACTATACCTTCCTGCTCTTAACTAAATTCTGCTTCTCAAGGCTCAGCTCCATTCCTGACTTCTCTTTGGAGCATAGGCCTGTGGTTCCAAACACTATTGTGTGGATGAGTGATAGTTCGATGATAAAATTTTCGCTGGGGGGCCAGCCCTGTGGCATAGTGGTTAAGTTCAGCGCGGTCTGCTTCCGCTGCCCGAATTTGTGGATTCGGATCCTGGCACGACCTACACCACTCATCAGCCATGCTGTGGCGGTGACCCATATATAAAGGGGAGGAAGATTGGTACAGATGTTAGCTCAGGGCTAATCTTCCTCAGCAAAAAAAAAATTTTTTCACTGGTTTATAGCAACATAAGAATGATACAGTTTTTTTTTGAAGTTTAATTTAAAGGACTATTATGCAGTCATTCAAATGAATAAGATCAATTTATATATGTACCAACATGGAAAGATGTCATTTGTTGAGTAGGAAAAAAGATGCCATTTGTGTGGTTAAAGCACATGTCAACTTGAATATGCATAGAAAATATCCTAAGGGATACACAAGAAACTGGCAAAATTGGGTACCTTTGAGGAGGAGGGTAGAGGGAAAGAGGTCTGAAATTGATTTGTATGTAGTTTAAGAAAAACTTTTAACTGAATTATTCTGAGATTGCCATTTCTACTTTTTTTGATGTTAAAGTATTATTTTATGAAATAATGATGGTGGTGGTGGCAGTAGTTGGGTTTAGTTTTGTTTTGAATCGCTGTTCTCAACACAAGAAGTTGCCAGTATGGCTTTGACCATAGGGATCTCTGCAGTCTCTGAATAACTATTGCTTTTACAGCACTAATTACAGAGTCTCTTAGCACTCCGCTGTTCTCCAGTTGTTTCACGTGTTTTAGCAATGCAAGGGTAGAGCCTAGCACTCTAGTCCTTTGTATTTTCACAGTGCTGAGCACTACACATCACACTTAATGATGCTCTGTAAATCTTGATTATTTGATTAGACATCAATTTTCAGCATGAGATTTCTTAATTCAAATTGTTTTAGAAGTGAAGGCAAGAATTTTTTTTTTCTATGTTCTCTAGGAAGGTGCAATGGCCAGGAATTTACCTGTCATCTTGATCCTGACCTTTACCTTGTCAGTCACAAATCCCCTTCATGAACTGGAACCTGCAACTGCTTTCCCTCAGACCACTGAGAAAATTACTCCGAATTGGGAATCTGGCATTAATGTTGACTTGGCAGTTACTGCGCGGCAACATCATCTACAGCAGCTTTTCCGTCGCTATGGAGAAAATAATTCCCTGTCAGTTGAAGGGTTCAGAAAATTGCTTCAGAATATAGGCATAGATAAGATTAAAAGAATCCGTATACACCATGACCACGAGCATCACTCTGACCATGATCATCACTCTCACCGTAATCATGCTGCTTCCGGTAAAAATAATCGGAAAGCTCTTTGCCCAGACCATGACTCTGAGAGCTCGGGTAAAGATCCTAGAAACAGCCAGGGGAAAGGATCTCATCGATCAGAACATGCCACTGGTAGAAGGAATGTTTTAATCAAAGATGGTGTTGCTGCTAGTGAAGTGACCTCAACTGTGTATAATGCTGTCTCTGAAGGAACTCACTTTCTAGAGACAATAGAAACTCCAAAACCTGGAAAACTTCTCCCCAAAGAAGTGAGCAGTTCCACTCCACCCAGTATCACAGAAAAAAGCCGGATGAGCCGGCTGGCTAGTAGGAAAACAAATGAATCTGTGAGTGAGCCTAGAAAAGGCTTTATGTATTCCAGAAACACAAATGAAAATACTCAGGAGGTAAGATGAGTGCTGTTCATTATTTTAGTCAATATGCCTGCTTGTCTGTCCTGTCATTGCTATTCAGTCTCTAGTTGTAAGGAGTTTAAAAATAAAATGGTGAGGTTATGGAGAAGGGAATTTCTACTTCCTCATCACAGCACTTCTCCTGAAGTGTCCCTATGGTGTTGTAAACATTCCTGATACAAAACCTGAGAGATTGTTCTTTGATAAGAATAGTGCTGCCTGCTAAAAACAATTTTCTAATATAGAATTTAAAATAACTGTAGAAAGCAGGGACGGGCCCGGTGGCGCAAGTGGTTAAGTGCGCGTGCTCCCCTGCAGCGGCTCAGGGTTCACCGATTCAGATCCCGGGCATGCACCGACGCACCGCTTGTCAAGCCATGCTGTGGCGGCGTCCTGTATAAAGTGGAGGAAGATGGGCACGGATCTTAGCCCAGGGCCACTCTTCCTCAGCAAAAAGAGGAAGATTGGCAGATGTTAGCTCAGGGCTGATCTTCCTCACAAAAAACAAAAAAATAACTATAGAAAGCAGATATCAAGGTTATTTTTGGAGAAAGTCTTATATTGGGAGAAAGGTCAATGTTATTAATAAAAAATAGAAAAGGGAGGTTGAAAAGCAGGAGTTAGAATCCTTTTAATTAGAGGACAAGCTTAGTCCTCTGATTAAATATTTTAGGGAAAGGTGTGGTTGAAGGGGCTGAAGAACACAAGAACAGCGTTACCTCCTTGGCAGGGGGATCACAGTGACCTGTGGAGTGATTGAAATTGGAGCAGCTACCAAGAACGACGTGCTGGACAAGTGAAAAGTGTGGGCAGTGAGGTTCTGCATTCATGTGTTTTTTCCTAGACTAGACTTCCAGAATGTACACAGTTTGCCTTGGCTGAGAGATGTCAAGAACAGGGAATTAGTTGGTATAAGTTAGTAAACAAAACTTAAGTACTTCATTGAAATCATCATATGACTGTACTAATTCTGGAATAATCCTACTAATGGTCATTCCCATAGCGACACTGATGATAAAGTTTGTTCTGAGTAGTAGTGGCCAAGAACTGTGGGAGTTTAAATAACTTTACAAAACATGAGAAACAGGAACCACTGCCAATTTTGGAGGGAGAAGGGAAGCTTAGATTACCCAGAGGAGATTCTCTTCAAACTAAGCTTGGCCTCTAATTAAATTGTTGAAACGACTGCCTGCTGGTACAGGTTTGTTTTATTAACCAGCCTTGCCCTCCGCCAGGGTAATCTACATAATTTAGTATTCTCTCATTGTAGAGCATTGTTTTGCCAGGTATGTAGACAAAACTGAGCTAAGTTTTGCAAGTATGGTCATTGCTGAAAGAATGACGTGTCTCGGGCTTGTTCAGCCCAGGTTAGGGTCATGTTAGAACTAAAACAATGTATTTCTCAATCTCTGATGAGCCCCATCTCGAAATTAAAGCTCATTTCCTTAATAGGTTTATACAGTGAATTAACAGGCTTGTGAATGTCTGTTTATCCTCATGCTTATTGCACTTGAGGCTTTCTACCTAGGTGACTAGGGCTATAACTGCTTCTCCCAGGAGGAAATAGAGGAGATGAGATGCAACCATTGTGACATAGTATCTCCAGGTAGCTTAAGGCAAGTTCCAAAGTACTCCAAACGAAAGTGGATTTTAATTTGCATTAATTGAAAAAAAACAAAGTAGCTTCAGTAATGAAAGGGTGTTGTGTCATCAAACAACTCTTGGATTCTTTAATAGGAATGCCTTTTGGTGATTTTCACTGCTTTGTTTCTTTCAGTGTTTCAATGCGTCAAAGCTGCTCACGTCTCATGGCATGGGCATCCAGGTCCCATTGAATGCAACAGAGTTCAACTACCTCTGCCCAGCCATCATCAATCAAATTGATGCCAGATCGTGTCTGATTCATACAACAAGTGAAAAGAAAGCTGAAATCCCTCCAAAGACCTATTCTTTACAAATAGGTAGAATTGCCTTGTTAATGTAAAAATATTTTCCAATAGATACATTTATTTTGTACTTATCCTTATATTTATATCAACCTATTCGTTTTTCAGCATAATTCCAAATATATCATCTTAATGGTTCTCTGCCTTAAATGTAAAGAAAGCAAGTGTTAGCCTTACTCTAAATGAATAAGTAATAAACCTTAGATTATAACTTGTCTGAGGTCATCCCACAGGAGGAGAAAGGTCAGAGTTAATTTCCGCTGTTTAGGAGCCTAATTCTGGTATGTTCTTATTAATAGATGAAACTAGGATAAGCTCTACTATAGTGTAGAGCTGCATTGCTCAAAAACTATAGTGAAGAAATAATTGCTTTTCGTTTACTGAGGAAATTATCGAATTCTTGGTTTCCTTCTCTTTCTTCCTTCCTCCCTTCCCTCCCTCCCTTGGTCTCTCCCTCCCTCCCTCCTCCCTACCCTTCCTCCTTCCCTCTCTTCTCTTTCATAATTTAGCTGCTATGGGAGTCCAAAAGCTCAGTTCCCAAGTGAGCTCGAGTTCATCCTTAGTAACCATTTTTTCCCCCCTTTCACCCCCATCTGAAGAATTTACCCGCTAGGCTTGTGCTCTTTACCTGGAAGGTTCAGTCAGATTGTTCATTTGAGCCAGCAACAGATTTCTTGATTATTGCTCTGTTACCACAGGCCTATTCTACTGAGTTTGTATTTCTTTAGCTTCCCTGCTTTTACAAATTGCTTTATGCTACTCCAAAGTCTCTCTTTTAAAGTTTATCAATTGTATGATTTTTCCTTTACTATGTTTTGTTTGACAGCCTGGGTTGGTGGCTTTATAGCCATTTCCATCATCAGTTTCCTGTCTTTGCTGGGTGTTATCTTAGTGCCTCTCATGAATCGGGTGTTTTTCAAATTTCTGCTAAGTTTCCTTGTGGCATTGGCCGTTGGGACATTGAGTGGTGATGCTTTTTTACACCTTCTTCCACATGTAAGTATGGTAATTTGTCCTGCTAGTGTCGTTTTATTATTCAACGTTGAAAAAATATATATATTTTTTGGTTTGTACTAGAATTCTTTGTCTTGTTATGTGTAAAAGGTTAGAAATTTGGTTTAGAGGAGCTGATTTTAAAATATATTTAGTAATTAAAAGCTGTATATTTGTGCTAGGTCTTAATGCATGTTTATTTTTTTTGCTTTTCTCTTTAAGGGAATTTACTAAATACAGACTAATTTAACTTTTTGGAACCCAGTTGATAAAAGGAGACAAATTCTGCTCAGATATTGTTACTGTGACAGACTGCAACAATGTGAATTACCTGCTTACCTGTTAGTGTAGTTACCACAGAAATAAAAATTGTGACTCTTTCTGTACCCAAGAAAGTTACGAGTTTTTCTTCAGAGTTGAATTCATGTGTGGATTTAGAGATTTACAGTTGTGACACAAGTAAATTCTTAAACAAGTTTGGTAAAGTTTATTTAATGTTTAGGATAGAGGCTCAGGCAGAATATATTTGGATCTCATTTTTTAAGTTTCCCTTAGAGGTTTTTAGGTAAGTGGGAAAAAGAAATCACTCCATTCCTGGACTACATATCTCATCGTGTTCCATTCTGTAGTGAAAAACGATTTTGTTCCCTGACCACCAGATGGCAGATGGTCAAGAACACGTGCTGCATGAAGTGGCATGTGCATGGGTGTCCCCTGTGACACGCCCCTCCTCCCCCAATCCCACCTCAGTGCCTGTGCTCCACGCTCAATTCCCTAACATGCAGTGGTATAAGTTCCTACTGCACTCAGCTGCAGGCTGCTGGAGCAGTGCACCTGGATCTTGGGTACCTGCTGGGGCCCTTTACACAGACTGGGCTTCTTGTAAGCACACTGACAATACTAGTATAGGCTTTTCAGTTGGGAGAATAAGTAGTAGACACTACGTGCCTGTTAAATCTGGCTGTTCCCTTTTATTTGTGGCCGTGGTAATTTGTCAAACATTGAAAATACCCACTACGTGTATATCATGAGAGTCTTTGGGGACTGTATCTGTCTTTACACTAAACATATCCACTCTATTAAGTGCCTTAGTACATTATATACTTTAAACTCTAGACAGCTAGCTGCCTGTAGGTAATTTTATTTTTAATGTCCTAAACTTCCCCTAAGCTCTGAACTATCCTGTTAATTGCCTAATTCTGAATCGTTTCAAATTTGACCTTATTATCTTAGCCAATTTTTCTGATATGTGTGAAACTAATGAATTTATAAAATACATATTGTTTTTCCTTTAGTCTCATGCAAGTCACCACCATAGTCACAACCATGAAGAACCAGCAATGGAAATGAAGAGAGGGCCACTTTTCAGTCATCTATCCTCTCAAAACATAGAAGAAAGTACCTATTTTGATTCCACGTGGAAGGGTTTGACAGCTCTGGGAGGCTTGTATTTCATGTTTCTTGTTGAACACGTACTCACATTGATCAAGCAATTTAAAGATAAGAAGAAAAAGGTAAGAACAAGTACTGAGTACTTACTATGCATCAGACATTCATTAGAGTAGTACTCTAACTAGACTGTTAACAGAGCTTGTCCTGGGTATATGATCTTCATTTTAGACGGGGTTCAGTACCCTTGAGATACTTTTTGCTCCCAGAGGCATTCATGGAGAGCAGTTCTGTATCTTGATAATCCTGCAGTTTTCTGTATTCAGTATTCCCTTCAAACTCCTGAGAGGGTAAGAATGGCAAGGATAGCATCTATATAAATGACCAAACAACGCACAAGCAGGGGCTTGAAGATCAAAAGCATTGTGATTATGGTCTTGATGGTGGCAATGGTTTTAATAAAGTGGGGTTTCTTTTAAAAAAAAGAGAGAAGCATCATAGATACACTATAGATACACTGTTGATATTCATTGGTAGTTATGATTAACTTTAAATTATTCACCCAGTAGCTGACTATTCTGTTTTCTTTCAAAGGCTGTATGACTTTCACAGACCTGCCCTTTGCAAATTGCCACCAGAAAATAGTATGAAGCCAAACAGTAGGCTCTTTATTTCTAGTAAAAATACCCTTTGGGTCATCTGTGGTTATCTGCCTCTTCTGATGTGACAGGGCAAGTCAGTCAAAAGACTGTCCTAGCGGGGATTCTTAACAATGACATGTACACATCTTGGGCATTTTAATTTAGCTTAAAACATTCATACACTCATATTGTGGTCTTTTGATGTTGACCAAAGTTTTCTTTGAGTTGGAGTTCTGTATGATCATTTTTCCATAGACATGCTGCTTCATCGACAATTTCTAATTTTGGTTTCTCTAAAATTGAGCAAGAGGTTATACACTTGTAAGGCTATTTTGAGAGTAGAAGCTAGATTTTGGAAATTTTAACAATTTGATGCAGTGGTTGCCTTATATAATTTGATAGACTCTTTTTTTTATCAACTTGCCTTTGAATCTTTCAAAAGCATCCAACTTAAGTTTTCATAGACGTATTCTCACCATCATTTCATAGTTTGAGCAATATGTAATTAAGTTGTGCAATTACAATAACAAGTATAGCTGGCATGAAGAGGTTTGAAAACTAGCAGTTGATTCTTGCTGAGCATGGAGCTCACGGTGGGAAACAAGAGCATGTGTGAACAGGAGAGTAGCCTCCTCCTCCTCCATCCTGTGAATATTTGCCCCTGTGGATTTTGTAGTCACTAAAATCTCAAGTCACAAAATTTGAACCTTCTCTTTACTGGACCTAAATTTAGAGGGAAAAAGTGAGATAGGAATAGCTTATTCATTCTTTCTTTTTTTTCCCCCTCCCCAAAGCCCCAGTGCATAGTTATGTATTCTAGTTGTAAGTCCTTCTAGTTCTGTGTGAGCTGCCACCACAGCCTGGCAACCGACAGATGACTGGTGTGGTTCTGCCACCAGGAACCAAACCCTGGCTGCCAAAGCAGTGAGAGTGCCAAACTTTAACCACTAGGCCATCAGGGCTGGCTCTAGCTTATTCATTCTTAATCCAGGAAGTCATCTTGCATGTTCCTGTTGTCTCAGCTGCTTAACTTGGACTGGCTTGAGGATATATCCTGCTTCTTTATGTTCTCTGGAATTATTCTTATCTTAAAAAAAACAAATGATCATTTATTGTATTTTTCAGGGGGGCGATTGGAAGTTTGTTTGTTTTACTGTGTTTCTGGTTTAAATGCCATAATTTATTTAACATTCTAATTTCAATTTAGTTTTCAAATTTTACCTTAAGATAGCTTTTCTTTAATTTGGCACTCTTTAACATGGGACTCTAAGAGGTAGGCTCTATATTATCTAATACAGAACAGGTTTTTTTCAAACTCTAGATTATAACTCAGTGAGCTGTGAAATCAATCTTGTGTCATGACCCATGTCTTTAAATGCAACAATAGGGGCCGGCCCCGTGGCTTAGCGGTTAAGTGCGTGCGCTCCGCTGCTGGCGGCCCGGGTTCGGATCCCCGGCGTGCACCGACGCACCGCTTCTCCGGCCATGCTGAGGCCCGCATCCCACATACAGCAGCTAGAAGGATGTGCAACTATGACATACAACTATCTACTGGGGCTTTGGGGGAAAAAGTAAACAAATAAAAAAAATAATAATAAAATAAAATAAATGCAACAATAGGGCCGGCCCCGTGGCTTAGCGGTTAAGTGGCTTAGCGGTTAAGTGCGCGCGCTCTGCTACTGGCGGCTCCGGTTCAGATCCCGGGCGCACACCGATGCACCGCTTCTCTGGCCATGCTGAGGCCGTGTCCTGCATACAGCAACTAGCAGGATGTGCAACTATAATGTACAACTATCTACTGGGGCTTTGGGGAGAAAAAGGGAAAAAAAGGAGGAGGATGGGCAATAGATGTTAGCTCAGAGCCGGTCTTCCTCAGCAAAAAGAGGAGGATTAGCATGGATGTTAGCTCAGGGCTGATCCTCCTCACAAAAAAATAAATAAATAAATAAATAAATGCAACAATAATATTACAGTATATTACAATGTATATATTACTGTGGGTTATATTCGAAGAAGTTTGAAATCTCTGTTCTAAAATAGTTTCTACTGGAATGTAAGCTTTAAGAGCCAGAATCTCTCTTTTTTTACTGCTATGCCTCCATTGTCTAGAATAGCATCTGGGACATAATAGATGATTGATAAATATTTGTTGACTGTATAAGAAACTTTAAACAGCGAGTAAGCATAATTTCTAGACAAAGACTTCCCACAGGAGTTTTGCAAACATTGCATGTTCTCTTCCTTTTTAGAATATATTCAGTTTATCTTTTGTCAAGGGCATCCAGATCTTAGTGTTACTTATTTAATGGTTTTTAATCTCATTTGGTTCTCTCAAAAAGAAAAAGAACTATTCATTATACGGTGAGTGTTAGGAGCTCTCCAGCCTCATTGCGGACATTTTACCTAAGATTTTCCTTAATACATCCATCCTGCACCCCTGGGAGATTCCATATATCATAGTTTTAGGTCATCTGCCATATATGTCGATCTAAAATCTCTATATTCAAATTAGGGGTACATTTCGTACTTGATATAGACAGACAGACGTTTATAATAATTTCAGCCTCAAAGTTTCTTTCTACCAGCTAAGATGATGCTGGAAACCTGAGCATTATCTGTGACATCTCCCTCATCCTCATATTCAACCTAGTTTTATTAAATACATCCAGAGTCTTTCCATTTCTCTCCATTTTCCTTGCTATCATTCTAGCCCAAGCCATGCTTATCTCCCTCCCATCTACAGTGTATCGAGTGACGGCAGTTACCTCCCAACTGGCCTGTCTACGTTATTTTTTTTTCTTCTTCCAATCCAGAGCAGAGCAGGCAGAGTGATTTATTTAAATGAAAGTCTAATGAGGTTGTATACCACAACTTAAATCCTTTCTTCAGTGACTTCTCATTGCTTTTAGGACAAAGTCCACAACTCTTAACTTGTTTGCATTGTCTGGTCTCCACCAGCTGCCTAGCCTCATCTCTAGCCACCCTGTCTCTGACGTGCTAGGTCCCAACCACCTTGAACCTCTTTCAGTTCCAGGATGGGGCTGGCCCTTTCCTGCTTTAGGGCCCTCCCACATGCTATTCTCCCTGCCTGGAATACTTCCATCTCTCCACACACATACCCACTCCCATCCCCCACCCTGCCCTTCCCCTGCAAACTCCTGTTCATCTTTAGGTCTTAGTATAAAAATCCCTTTCTCAAGGAATCCTGTCCTGGGGCTTGGTTCTTGTTGTTATAAACTCTCATAGCACTCTGGGTTTTTCCTTTGTACAGTGTATCGAGAATTGCGACCAAAGAATTGTATAATCATTGTCTCTGTAAAGCCTCCTTCCCTGTAGGTCATAAACTCCATGAGAGCAGAGACCATGTATATCTTGTTTTACATTGTATTGCCAGCACTTAGCATGGGGAGCATTATACGTCTTTAATGCTTGTGGAATTGTTGACGCAAAATAATCAATAACCATTCTCCAGATAAGAGAGATAAGATGAGTTTTACTTGAGCCAGGATGAGGGTTATAACCTGGAAGGCAGTTTTCACAAAGGAAGAAAGCATTCTGGAGAAGCATGGTTTTCAGAAGAGCCTTATACCTTTTTAGAACAAAAAACATACATTAAACACACCCAAGATACATATTCATCAAAGTTTCAAAGAGGTATTCAGTTGCAAATTAGCAGGTCGACAGGACCCTGATGTCTTTTTGGGAAAAGGAGAAGGGGAAAACGGGGGGCCGGCCCAGTGGCGCAAGCAGTTAAGTGTGCACGTGCCGCTGCGGCAGCCCACGTGCCACTTGTTAAGCCATGCTGTGGCAGCATCCCATATAAAGTAGAGGAAGAAGGGCATGGATGTTAGCCCAGGGCCAGTCTTCCTCAGCAAAAAAGAGGAGATTGGCATAGCATGTTAGCTCAGGGCTGGTTTTCCTCACAAAAAAAAAAAAAAAAGGGAAAAGGGGCTAATACAGGCGTTACCAATAGGGCGTTACCAAATAAGGCATTAACTATAGGGTGTAGGAGGGGAAGTAAGCATTCTTAAGAGAGTGCGTTCTTTAATGGCTAAAGCAGATGTACAATGTATGTTTGATAGGCCATTAGTAAGGCTTTTTTAGTTCAAGCCTAATCAGTTTTGAACCGGAAGTTACCCCATATACCTCAATATGTGAAAATCTCTTGTCAGAATGAAAGAATTGGTTAAACTATAAGTTCTAAAGAGAGTCATTGCCCAAGAAAAAATAAAGCATCAACTAAAGTTGCTGATACCCTGAGTTGATTTATTTTCACAAATATTTATGTACTGTCTCTATTTGAGGCGTTATTCTAGGGGTAAGTGTAAAGATTTATCTGTGTGCTTGCCTTTAAAAACTTATAACCTGGGCCGGCCCCGTGGCATAGCGATTAAGTGCATGCGCTCCGCTGCTGGCGGCCTGGGTTCGGATTGCAGGCACGTACCAAGGCACTGCTTGTCAAGCCATGCTGTGGCAGCATCCCATATAAAGTGGAGGAAGATGGGCACCAGTGTTAGCTCAGGGCCAGTCTTCCTCAGCAAAAAGATGAGGATTGGCATGGATGTTAGCTCAGGGCTGATCTTCCTCTCACACACACACACACACACACACACACACACACACACTAAATTAATTAATTAATTAATTTTAAAAAAAAGAAAAAAACTTATAACTTAAGAATATACATGGGCCGGCCCCGTGGCTTAGCGGTTGGGTGCGTGCGCGCTCCACTGCTGGCGGCCCGGGTTCGGATCCCAGGCGCACACCGACAAACCGCTTCTGTGGTCATGCTGAGGCCGCGTCCCACATACAGCAACTGGAAGGATGTGCAGCTATGACATACAACTATCTACTGTGGCTTTGGGGGGAAAAGATAAATAAAATCTTTAAAAAAAAAAAAGAATATACAGATATTTTATATGCTGTTAGAGGTAGAATGAAATCTCAGGTATGGGGGCAATCGTTTAAGTCATATTCAAAGGTATGCAAATAAGAAATCTATTATTTGTGTGACAGTTTTCATCATTTTGAATGTTATCTTCTACATAAGTAAATAATATACAGGCACCATTGTTCAAACAGTGACCTTTATGCCTGAGCTCAGAGATAGGGACAGTATCTCAAGCATGGTATTCGGGTGGTTAAAAAAACTAGTGATAAATGCAAGGCTAATAGAGATTTGTTTAAAAAGAGAAAGCTTGTTAATGGTGTTTTATTATAGGAAAAGTATTTTAGTTTTAATAACAAATACATATCAGTATCACAGTATAGTTTTAGATTATAAGAAGTATGGGGTTTCAGTGTCCAAAAAAGGGATGGAGAAAACCAAGCAACTGGTTAGTAGGTCACAAAATGCCTCTAGCTGGTTCTAAATTAATAACCTGAGGCAGGGCTCAATTTTAATGTGTGTCTGAGTCACCCAGGGATCTCATTAAAATGCCTATCCTGATTCATTAGGCCTAGGATGTGGCCTGAAATTGTTCGTTTCTAAAAGCTTGCAGGGAATGCTCTGCTGGTTATGTAAGATCACACTTAGGATAGATGGCCTAGGGGATGTTCAGAAAGATGAATGTGTGATTTTTCTACATTTCACGTTACTGAGGTATTGCTTCTTCACTTTTCTGAACAATTACTATGCCTAAGACACACTACTAGGTGCTATGCAAGTTAAGTGCAGGCCTTGCCCTGAGATGGCGTTTATTCCGATAGAGATCTGTTACTCTGTCGTCTTTTTCTGTATCTTTTGCTTAACTGTTTATTTAAAGCTGTACACATAGGCAAATCAACTATTTTAAAGTATTGCTTTTCCTTGCTATTTTAGAATCAGAAAAAACCTGAAAATGATGATGATGTGGAGATTAAGAAGCAGTTCTCCAAGTATGAATCTCAACTTTCAACAAATGAGGAGAAAGTGGATGCAGATGATCGTAAGTCCGTATGAATCTGAGGCCTGGAAGGAGTTCATTGTTCTGTAATTTGCAGGCAGCTTGGCCTATCTGGAAGAGACGGGACCATGTCCCTTTGTTTTTTTTTGTATTTCCTACGTTTTCTTTTAAATTGCCAGAGAGTAGGTTGTTTCTGGGTATATTTACTTTTTTTTCCTATAATTTTTTTATTTTGAGTTCAGGCTTACAGAAAAGTTTCAAGAATAATACAAAGAATTCCTGTGTCCCTTTCCTTTATTCCCCAGTTATTTTGCCTACATTTATCATTCTCTCTCTTTCTCTATGTACACATACACATTTTTTCCTAAACCTTTTGAGAGTAAGTTACAGACATGCTTCTTCTTTACCCCTAAACAGTTTAGTATATGTTTCCTGAGAGAAAGGACATTGTCTTTTATAACCACAGTTCAGTTACCGAAATCAGGAAATTAACGCTGATGCAATGCCAGTATGTAGTCTACAGACCTTATTTGTGTTTTTCCAATTGTCTTTAAAATTCCTTTATACTCCCCCCTCCCCCAAAAGAAAAAGATTGATCCCGAGTACAATCCAGGATAAAATGTTGCATCTAGTTGCCCCTCATTTTGGGTTTGTCTAAATTTTTTTTTTATGACTAGATTGATCAGTTTGGGCAGGAATACCACAAAGTGGTATTGTATCCTGCGCCACCCGACATGATGCCCTTTGTCACATACTGATGGTGTTAATTTTGATCACTTGGCTAAGGTTGTGTCTACCATGTTTCTCCACTGTAAAGTTACTATTTTTCCTGTAACTTCACTGTTAGCTTGGGATTTCTTGTGGACAAATTCAATTAAGATTAAAATTTTAAACCAAACTCCTCACCATGGCCTTTAGAGTCCTGCCCTACTCTCCACTCTCCCCCGTTGTTCACTCTGCCCAGCCTCACTGGCCTTTTCATCCTGTGAGCATACCAGGTTTGTCTCAGAGCCTTGCATTCCCTGTTCCTTCTGCTTGGAAGCCTCTTCTTCCAGATCTTCACATAAATTTTTCCTTCTATAATTTGAGTCTCAACTCAGATATCTGCTCCTCGGAGGCCTTTCCTGATCACCCAAATATAGAGGTCTCCCAGGCGTTCTCCTCCACCCTTTTCTCTTTTCCCATGCTTTCTAGTGCCTTAAATTACCTTACTTATACACATGTTTGCTTGTTAGGTGGACAAGAACATAAGTTTCTTAATACCAGAGACTTTGTCATGCTTCCTTCTATCCCCAGTGCCCAGCAGGGTGCCTGGCCCAGAGTAGGTGCCCAGTAGACAGTGGCTGGCTGTGGAGAGTATGTGCCCAGTAGACAGTGGCTGGCTGTGGAGAGTAGGTGCTCACTAGACAGTGGCTGGCTGTGGAGAGTAGGTGCCCAGTAGACAGTGGCTGGCTGGGGAGGGAGAAGACTTGATTGTTGCTACTGCCTGTGTGTAAGGTTTCCTCTGCACCCTTTGTTTTCCAACATGCTGTTTTTCTCTAAAGAGCAAATAAAATGCTCTTGCTCTTCTTCCTGCATCTGTTCTCTCTTCAACCTTTTTAATGGACTCTACTGAAATATATAACGATGAGAGGACATAGCTGCTCTAGAATTGGACCACGGTGTTGAGAATGCTCCAAAGAAAAGTGAAACCAATGTACAGGACAAAGGAAAAACAAAACATTGTTGTTGCAATTTATTTTTCTTTGCACAGTAGATAATAAATGGTTCTTGGTGATGATGGTATTTCAGATTCTTCTGTTTTTCCTTGAATTTTGCCCTCAAAAAAGAGGAAGTCAGACGACAGGATTATGCACGTTTTTTATTTCTGATTTTCAGTATTTTTCTTAAATATTTTTCTAAAATAAGTAGGTACTTCTTTTATAATCAGGAAAGAAGTCATCTTTAAAAATGCAGGGAGGCAGAAGAAATTAAGGAGGATCTGGAGGGCAGTTATTGAAAGTTAAGTTTAAAATCCATTCTTAATGTGAGATCATTTAATTTCTAAAATTCATTAAAACCTATCGATGATTTTCATCAATAATATTCTAATGTTTAGTTCTTCAGGTATATGTGAGAGAGTTCCCATGCTTTAAGATCTTTTTTTGACTTTAATTGTCAGTGGGAATGTTTGAAATGTGTCCAAGCACATTAATGAAGCCTTCTGACCTTGTCCCAATGTCCTTTATGTTTATATCTAGGACCTGAAGGCTATTTACGGGCAGACTCACAAGAGCCCTCCCACTTTGATTCTCAACAGCCAGCAATCTTGGAAGAAGAAGAGGTCATGATAGCTCATGCTCATCCACAAGAAGTCTATAATGAATATGTACCCAGAGGGTGCAAGAATAAATGCCATTCGCATTTCCATGATACGCTCGGCCAGTCAGACGATCTCATTCACCACCATCATGACTACCATCATATTCTCCATCACCACCACCACCAGAACCACCACCCCCACAGTCACAGTCAACGCTACTCTCGGGAGGAGCTGAAAGATGCCGGTATTGCCACATTGGCCTGGATGGTGATAATGGGCGACGGCCTGCACAATTTCAGCGATGGCCTAGCAATTGGTATACATCTACATATTTGCCCCTTGTTGACTGACTCTGAAAATGTCACATTAAACTACTAGTCCAATTTTAACAAAGAATAGGTTGGCTTTGATAAGGCTATTAACTTCTAAGATTATAAAAATATTATTTCTTATTTGGATACTTTGACAATGAAATACTCAATAAATGCTAGTAAGATTAAGTGCTAGGAAATTTGCCTAGCCCGTTACCTAATACTGTAACTATCAAAAGTTGTTGTAATTTGCATGGTCTTAAGATCAGGCTCTAATGTGTATGGAGCATGTGGTTTTTTTCCCCTATACATTTAAGTTCCCTTATCTGCAATATAAACGTTATTTATTAAGGTAAAAGAATCTTGGGCCAGCCCCATGGCTTAGCGGTTAAGTGCACGCGCTCCGCTGCTGGCGGCCCGGGTTCGGAACCCCGGACGCGCACTGCTTCTCCAGCCATGCTGAGGCCGCGTCCCACGTACAGCAACTGGAAGGATGTGCGGCTATGACGTACAACTATCTACTGGGGATTTGGGGGAAAAAAATAAATAAATAAAATTATTAAAAAAAAAAAAAAAGGTAAAAGAATCTTTTCCATCGTCTTTTCTTTTACGCTAAAAGAATCTTTGTGTGTCTGATAAGTTCAGTTACCAATCTCTATCCAAAGAAGAACTATAGAGTTTTTGCTATTAAATTATGATGCCACAATTGAGAAATAGTAGAATACTGACAAATCTTAGTAACAGAAGGAAGGAACTGGAAGGAACCATGGAAATAATTACAGATTAGGCAGCTGAGGCCTGGCAAGGTGAACCACTTGCCCAAGGAGGCAGTGCTGTTTTGTAGCCCAGCTGAGATGGGGCCAGGCCTTGGCTCCCTGGGAGCCTGCTGCTCTTCTTCCTCTGTTTTTTTTTTTTTTTTATTTTTTTTAAAGATTTTATTTATTCATTTTTTCCCCCCAAAGCCCCAGTAGATAGTTGTATGTCGTAGGTTCACATCCTTCTAGTTGCTGTACGTGGGACTCGGCCTCGGGTTGGACGGAGAAGTGGTGCCTTGGGGCGTGCCCGGGATCCGAACCCGGGCCGCCAGCATCAGAGCGCGCGCACCTAACCGCTAAGCCACGGAGCCGGCCCTCTTCTTCCTCTGTTGTACACAGCATAAATGACAAAGGATGTGCAAGTGCTCAGTCGTGGTTTATAAGCAATCAGTCGTATAATGTGTTAGCTTTTAAAAGGGGAGGAGCTGTTTGTCTTAGACTCTTCTTATGAGACAGTGGAAGAATGAATGTAAACAAGTCTAATTACATAGTGAATTCCTCCCAGGCCAGTGAAACATACTTGTCTCTTGACTACTGAGTTTTGTTTTCTAAACCTTTTAAATCAGTTTATTTTATATTTTTAAATAAGTATTTTATGTGGTAACAATTACTTCTCAGATTTGTATAAGATCATCTAATCACTCTAAGGCATAGGGGAACTTTCCTTTCTCAATCATATCTGCTTGTGCTCCTTTGGGAAATTTTAACCTAATTGAATGTAATCTAAGATGACTTACAAAGAAGATACAGAGTTCAGTTGGGAAAGTTCTATTTATTCACAACCAGAATAGAGTTCATTTCTTTTACCTCGTTTTGTATGCTGGTACAATTTAAAAAAACACACTCACAAAATAATGTAGCCAAACTTTTTCTGATTGATTTTTACACAGGTGCTGCTTTTACTGAAGGTTTATCGAGTGGTTTAAGTACTTCTGTTGCTGTGTTTTGTCACGAGTTGCCTCATGAATTAGGTAAGAGAACCATATAAATGATATTTTTCCAGGTGGGTTGAAGTGTCCTAGTATCACTGGCTTTTGCTAATGATAGTAGTTCCACCAAGCTTCCCCCTAACTTTTTTGCCTTCTTATAAGTCTGCTAACTAAGCTTTTTTACTGAGCACAAGTTTGTTTCCAGCCAGAATTCTGACCTTATGAGTACGATTACGTGATTGCCTATGTGGTGTTCCCAGAGAGGTAGCTGGGCCCCCTCTCTCATCCTCTTCCCCACCAAATATCTTATACCAGCATACTGGTGACATCAGTGATTGTTATCTTCACACACACAATATGATAAGACCAAAGGAATCATCTTCCATTATCAGAGAGCGGTTGGCAAAGAGAATCTCATTGGAGTTGAAGGAAAGGGAAGTTGATGAATTACGTTTTGAATATTTTTCTTCTCTGTCACCAGGACTTAAAACTTTCTAAGAATTGTTCTGGATCCCAGTCCATGTCCTTGTTTTTCTTCTTATAGACAGATATTCGCACACATTGCCATTTTTACTTTTGTTCCTTGGCATGTGTTCTGCCATTCAGAAGGCCTCCTACCTGCCTGCTCAATGCCTGTAATCCTCAACATCTGGTTTATGTTTCACGTTCTCGATCCTTCATGCTCCATGAAGCCTCTCTTAACTATTCCCATCTTAATTTATCTCTTTTTCTCCTTTTATAACTAGAAAATTATACTCTTTACCTCTTAATTATATATTGTCTTTATCATTTGCTGATCGTTTCATGGGTGTTCTTCACCCTCTTCTTTGTGGCCAATTATAAGCTCCTTGAAGACAGTACAAGAGCATGATAGTAGGTTTCTTGTATTTATCATTCATTGATGAAGTGGAAGGCTCAAGAAAACCTTTGGATAAAAAATATCTTACTTTATAGAGCTGTTAGGGTGATTTACATTGATTAACACATATCCCTGGGTAATTCTTAATTTTGCTTCTCTTTTTTTTTGCAAAAAAAATTGGAGAATTTCTTAAATCTGGAAAGTCTCTTGGGTATGTGTCTTAAAAATGATTTTTCAATTACTTTATCCCCTTTTTTGTTTTCTGTTAAAGGTGACTTTGCTGTTTTACTAAAGGCTGGCATGACTGTTAAGCAGGCTGTTCTTTATAATGCTTTGTCGGCCATGCTGGCATATCTTGGAATGGCAACAGGAATTTTCATTGGTCATTATGCTGAGAATGTTTCTATGTGGATATTTGCACTTACTGCTGGCTTATTCATGTATGTTGCTCTGGTTGATATGGTAAGTTTTTAAGAAATCAAATTACAATATTGACTAACAATAAAATAAAGAAAATGTTCAGTGAAGCCTCATTTTTAAAAAGGCTTTAGATTAAATGCAATAGAGATGAGAAGTGATTCTGTACTCTGCAAAGTAGCATATAAAATATGCTTGTCTTTTAGAGTTTATCTTTTTGGATTGTTTATCACAAGAACATCTTCATCCTGCCTTAGGTGTATCAGGATACACGGAAATATCTATCCCCTTCCAGTATGTCTTTTTGAGAGTAGAATCTCAATAATCAGGCATTGAATTGTGCATAGATTTGTAGGAAACCTAGCACAAGCCACATATTGTTGGCATGCTGTGTGTACTCCTTAAAAGTTAAAAAAATGCTTAAAATCTCCTTATTAATGGCCAAAGGAGTCACATCTTTTTGTCACCAAAGTACACATAACAATCCTAGTCAATCTAATTGCTAAAATTTTATTTTATTTAGTGTAAGGTTTCCATATCTCTGAACTTCAGGTAAGCCACATGTTATATTCAGTTCAGATACAGGCAGTAAGTGAATCAGGGTAATCAAATACCTATCCATTTTACAGAGGAGCAAACTGGACCAATATAAATTTTGACTTGCTGAGCAGACCATGAATAATCATTATTAATTAAACTGCTAGGAAATGCTGTGTGACATTATTAGCTAGTATCAGTATGTATGAGGTCGTGTTTTAAGGAATTGACTCAGTATATCCAGCTACATATAAAGCTAATATACTCTCCTGCAAATTCTTCTAAAAAGTAATCTGTGGTTCTGAAAACTTAACGTTGCTCTCTTTTTTTTTCTTCTTCAAGGTACCTGAGATGCTGCACAATGATGCTAGTGACCATGGATGTAGCCGCTGGGGATATTTCTTTTTACAGAATGCTGGGATACTTTTGGGGTTTGGAATTATGTTGCTTATTTCCATATTTGAGCATAAAATTGTGTTTCGTATAAATTTCTAATAGGGTATAGATGCTAGAGTAGCTTAAAAAACATTGCTGTCTATAGTTTGAATAGGTCATAGGGAGATGAGAGTCTGTATCCTGTGATATGCAGCATTTAAGATTAGTGGATTTTGTGATTTTTGTATTGAATATTGCCATTCGTTATGCTTATAAGGTCAGTTATGGTGGTAACATAAAGGTACGTTTTAATATTTAAGTTATTCTATTTTGGGAATATAAGCTATATGTGCAATTGACCAATTTTACCAGTTTATTGTATAAACAAGAGATTTGGCATGACGTGTTCTGTATATTTCAGGAAAAATGTCTTGAATGCTTTTTCTAGAACTAATTTAATACAGTAATTCCCATGCTGGATTTTAGGCCTCTGAAGAACTGCTGGTCTTTAGGAGTCAGAATACGCACAAAGCCTAAGATACCTAAAGGTTGAACTGAATTTAAGCTAAGAAATAAGGAGAAAAAGAGAAGAATCTGTAAAAATTAAGAAGGCATAGATTTCTTCCAATAAACCACAAAACTGGTTATAAAATAGAAGGGGAAAATTTAGATTTAATTTAAAAAGGCAATATTAGTAAAGTATTACTCTAGTATTAATAGTAGAGTACATTCATAAACGTTTTTGTCAGAGTATTAATGTTCCCATAAAACCATAGTGAGCACTTTTTACTAATTTAGGTGTACATTTAACTTTGTATAATAGGGAAGTCTAAATATATTTAATGAATTCAAGCAATATATCACTTGAGCAGGAAATTGGAATTTTAAAATATTTGTGTGGAGATATACCAGATGAATATGAGTAAGTTTATGTATTTCCAGAAGACTTGGATATCACCAAGTTGTGTATCACCTGAGGTTATGTGATTGGATATTCTGGTTATCTGGTTTACCAAACGTCAGTGTATTAGAACTTTGAGATATATAAGGACATTAAAACCATACTGAGTATAATTTGACTTCTTGGATTTCGAAAGTACTTTGGTGTCTTTCAGTGCTTCAGTGTTGTCATTATGAGCAATTGTCATTTTTATGTGTGGTACTTTAGACATACTAGGGCTGTCTGTGGCATTCTCTAGATGTTGCTTTTCTACAAAATAAATTCCCTCTCAAAAAAATAAATAAATAAATTCCCAATGTCAGCTTGATATCGGATGTCTGATTTATTTTACTTTTTTTTACCTTCTTAACCATTTTTAAGTGTACAGTTCAGTAGTTTTAAGTATATTCATGTTGTGCAATAGATCTCCAGAACTTTTTCACCTTGCAGAACTGAAACTCTATACCGATTTAAAAAAACTCATTTCCTCCTCCCCACAGCCCCTGGTAACCACCATTCTACTTTATGTTTCTATGAATTTGAGGTGTCTGATTTTCTTAAGTACAATCGAGATTATAGTATACTTATCAATTCATTTATATTATTGTATTGAGTGGCCTTATTCAATTTTAAATTCTTAATCATAAAGGGCATTTCCAAAAATATTGGTCCACAGTTTGTTCCAAGCTGTCTCTTTTTTTTTTTAAACAACCAGAGCCTTAAGCTTGAGAAGAAGGTTGAATACCCCACGTTCTAAAGAGAATCAGAAAAAACTGGACAGACCCTACACCCCACTAGGACCTATTGAGAGATAAGGGGACCAGCATTTCTGTTCTCCAAGTGAAAGGGATGAGTGTGGGTAACAAGAGAATTACTTGAATTGGGCATGCCTGAAAGGATGAGATGAGGCATCTCCTTCTGTGGCTGAATGATTACTCTGCTTCAAAAGCCCACAGACCCACCCTGTTATTCACTGCTAGATCAGTGCAAGGTGAAGTTATGGAATAGCTGGAAATGTTCTTTGAGTTTGGGGAACACAGACTTGTACCTACTCCTTCACAGAGATTCTGAAGGTGGAAAGTGTGCTGGACCAGCCCACAAAACAGGATGAATAGGAATAATAGTTCGCACTCCAGTTTGAACCTGTTAGTGGCTATGTGGAAGATTTAAGTAGTTAGTTCCCATGGCTCCGTGAGAGGGAGAATGGAGATTGGAGGAAAATGCAGGAGCTGTAGAATATGGACCAAAAGCTGATCCGTTAGGGGGGGAAAACTTACCAGACTGATAGAAAAAGAAAAGGCACAAGAAATAATATCTTGAATGAAAAAGGAAACAAATAGAGATACAGTAGCTTCAAGAAATTATAAAAGCAGACTATGTATTTGAGAACTTTATGGATTAATTTTCCGGAAAAATATGTGGTCACTCAAGAAAAAATAGAAAGTCAATTACTGTTAAAAAGAAAATGATCACATCAAAATTCTCCCCTTCCTCCTGCAAAACAAGACAGTTGGCTGTGAGTTGTACCAAAACTTTAAGCAGCACATAAATTGCTAGCTTATCCAAATAGTTTCTGGGATTAGGAAAAAAATAAGAGAATGTTCATTACGTTAATTGAGGTTAGTGTAACCTTGATATAAACCCAAGCTAGGAAAGGCGATCTACCTTGGACCCTAAGACTCCCTATACATTCTTGCTAGCTAGGTCAAGAAGGTAAGGCCCTGACCACTTTGCTAGGGCCATTTATCAGTGAAGAGTCTTGAATGATAAAGTCTGAGACAAAGATCAAGCCTTGTGTAAGTGGTAAATTCCCAAAGCTCAGCTGCTACACAAACTCACAGCATGTGCAGAATCCATCTGAGACCTTTCCCTTTGCTTCTGTGGGACTTGAGGGTCAAGAGGTACTGATGGAAATGATGCTCATGCTACTTGCTATGCAGTAAGCAATAAAGTCCTTTGTGTTCCAGGAGTCTCATGTCTTACTGCCATTATCCATGAAACTGTAATAGGCTAACTCGCAGCTTCTAAATTGAGTAAAGTCCAAGACCCTCACAAAACTTCACAGGATAGTATAGGAAAAGCAAAAATGAATATGGATAGAAGAATCCTAAATAGAAAATCAAACTCAGCAGTATATGATATGTTATGATCAAGTAAGGTGATCCTAGAAATGCAAGAATGGTTCATCAGAAGACCCATTACCATAATAAACCGTGTTAACACATTCAAGAGAAAAGAACTTCATAACTGAATCAGAAATTTAATAAAATAATCATTCAGGATTAAAGGAAAACATTTTAGCATGTGAAAAATAGAAGAAAATTTTTAAGATTCAGAAAGTCTATTAAAAACTTGTCTCCCTCTTCAATATTCCCATCCTATGAAATGAAGGGCTTAAGAAAGAGCAGCAGGGGAGGGGAGGAGAGATGCCCGGAGAGAGAGGAACCAATGTAGACCAGAAAGAGAAACTATAACTCCAAAAATGGGGTGGAACTTGAACCTCCCATATAACGTGTAATGAAAATTAAGGTAACAAGTTGCCACAATTCCATAGCTGTGAGTCACCATAAGCATTGATAGCTAGAAAGGATTTTTTTCCTTTTTTACAAAAAGTAGTAAAATATACATAACAAAATTTACTGTTTTAAACCTTTTTTTTTTTTTTTTTTTTTTGCTGAGGAAGATTTGCTCTTGAGCTAACATCTGTTCCCAATCTTCCTCTTTGTTTTTTCCGCTTAAGGAAGATTAGCCCTGAGCTAACATCCATGCTAATCCTCCTCTGTTTTGTATGTGGGTGGCTGCCATGGCACGGCTGACAAGTGGTGTAGGTCTTGCACCCAGGTTCCGAACCCGCAAACCCTGGGCCACCAAAGCAGAGCGTGCTGAACTTAACCGCTATGCCACAGGGCAGGCCCCTAATCACTTTTAAATGTACAGTTCAGTGGCATTACCTATATTCATGTGTTGTTCAACCATCACCACCATCCATCTCCAGAACTTGTTTCATCATCCCATACTGAAACTCTGTACCCTTTAAACAATAATTCCCCATTCTCCCCTCCCCCAAGCCCTTAGTAACTACTGTCCAATTTTTTGTCTGTATGTGTTTGAGTATTTTAGGTACACCATATAAGTGAAATCATACAATAGTTGTCCTTTTGAGTCTAGCTTATTTTGCTTAGTATAATTTAAAGATTCATCCATGTTATAGCATGTGAGAATTTCCTTCCTTTTTAAGGCTGAAAAATATTCCATTGTATGTATGTACCACATTTTGTTTATCTAATCATCCATTGATGGACATTTGAGTTGTTTCTACCTTTTGGACATTTGAGTTGTTTCTACCTTTTGGACATTTGAATTGTTTCTACATATTGCAAATATGTTGCTACAAACATGGGTACAAACATCTCATTTGCCTACTTTCAATTTTTTGCGAGTATATGCGAAGTGGAATTGCTTGGATTGTATGGTAATTCTATGTTTAATTTTTTGAGGAACCACCATTGTTTTTCACAGTGACTGCATGATTTCACATTCCCACCAGCAATGCACAAGGGTTCCAATTTCTCCACATCCTCATCTACGTTTGTTTTCTGTTTTGTTTGTTTGCTGTTTTTTGGTAATAGCTATCCTAATGGTTGTTAAGTGGTGTCTTGTTGTGGTTTTGGCTTGCATTTCCCTGATGACTAATGATGAGTGTCTTGTCATGTGCTTGTTGGCCATTTGTATATCTTCTTTGGAGAATTGCCTATTCAAGTCCTTTGCCCATTTTTTAATCGTTTGTTTTTGGTTGTTGAGTTGTAGGAGTTCTTTATATATTCTAGATATTAATCCCTTATCAGGTATGTAGTTTACAAATATTTTATCCCTTGGGCTGGCCCCGTGTCTTAGCGGTTAAGTGCGAGTGCTCTGCTACTGGCAGCCCAGGTTCGGATCCCGGGCGTGCACCGACGCACCGCTTCTCCGGCCGTGCTGAGGCCGTGTCCCACATACAGCAACTAGAAGGATGTGCAACTATGACATACAACTATCTCCTGGGGCTTTGGGGGGGAAAAA